TCTGTCTCAAAAAAAAAAAAAAAAGAAAGAAAGAAAAAGAAAAAATGCTGAGGAGTCTGGCCAAGATGGGAAAGTAGAGAGGGGCGAGTTAGTGAGATGGGAGTGAGAGTTGCTAAACTTAGTTTGCAAGAAAACTCTTCCAGGTTGGAGAAACCCCCTGAGGGCTTGGATTACTGGATCTTCGAAAATAAAATGGGCTGAAAACCAGAATTACTGGTTTAAGACCCCAGGGTCCCAGAGTTGCAGCACTGGAGAACAGGGGTAATGTCTTGTTCTTTGGCATTTTATTTCAAAATTGCAGCAAAGAGAAACAGAAAGAAACCGAAACGGCAGCACCTGGGGTCCAGACTTAGAACGGAGAGATGCGGAGTCGTAGCCAAATGGCATCCTTAGTCCCACCACGTGGACAAATAGGGGCCCTGATCCCCAAGGCCCAAGACGCGGGGCTGGTGGCCAAGATCCCTGGGTCCCACTTATGGCTTTGGGAGTGTAGCGACCACGAAGGGGCGCGAGAGACCCAGGCGTCCGGTCCCCTGGTCTTTTACTTCTTATTGCACTTTAGGTGAGTCTTTGGTAGGGAGGCGAAAGCCGGAGTGACTAGATGCTACAGGTCGGCGGGTCTTAAGGGTGGTTGGGCTCGGCCCGCACGGTCACACCGGGAGCATCCACTCGTGAGAGCTCGTTCCGTACTGGAGGAGGAGCAAGGCGGCTCGTGACGGGGAGGCCACACTGCATCTCCCAGCAGGCCCCGGGGCGCCCCGGCCTGAGCGCCTACGGAGTTGAGCCCCACGGCCTCATGGGAAATGTGGTCCACTTCTTGGAGGCCCGCCCACAATCCCCAGGAGTTGGAATCAAGACAGAGGTGGCCCAGAGGCTTAGGGGAGTTAGTGTGAGGCTTGAAGAAGTTGGGGGAAGTGTAGGTCTAGGTCTGGAGCCCTGGGAGAGGAGCTCAGAGGCTCTCTGGAAGATCCCTTGGCTCAGAAGAATGGGAATGCTCTTGGGAGGAAATGGGCTTGAGCCAGGAAGGAGGCCAAGGGCCAGGACTCACAGGAGGAAGATTTCTCAGGCCTAAGGGATCAAGGGCAGCCTTATGTAGCCAGAGGACTGGCGAGGGTCCCAGAAGTTCATGGAAAGCTAACTTCGACAGGGCTACTATCCCTGGGATTACTGCGGCGTAGATGGCTCTCAGGCCACAGGCACATGGGACATGAACTTCTCTGGGAAACAAGCGACCAGCCCATTTTGCCGCTCCCAGCACCTCACCTGGATCGCCTTCAGCTCCTTCTGGAAGCGGAGGATAAGCTCAGGCCCATTTTCCATAGTGGGAATGTGCAGTTTCTGGGGAGGAAGGTGCAGTGAGGCCCGGGCCCCTTCCCCATCTTCTCTCAATGCCCCTGGCAGCTGGGCCTCACCTGGCCTTGGTACAGGATTTGGTGCACAGGGCAGACTTGACATGCGGTGCCCGAGCCAAAGACTTCCCTCACCCTGCCCTCTTCCAGCGCCTGCATCAACTCCTTCATAGTGATCGAGCGTTCTGCTACCCGGAACTCACCCTGCCAGGCACGTGGAAGAGATACACGTGTCCCAGAGGGCTGCCTTGCTGTAAACCCCTGCTTCTCCCTCCCTACAGATGAGGAAGAGGCCCACGGGGAGCCAGTGAGCCCCACCCAGCATAACCTGATTCCCTGGGCTCCTTTCACAGGTGCCCCATCACCAGAAGCCACCACACTCTCACCCAGGTCTGAGCCAGGTCCAGCAGACTCTGTCTGACTACTCCAGGCAGGATGACACCATCCAGCGGGGGTGTCACCAGCTCCAGCACTAGGTCAGGTTAGAGGATAGGGGTTACTTGTGCCTCCTTCCTCTTTGGAGCCACAACCTCCAGAATCCCTGAGGCCAGCAACCTGCCAGGAATTATGGTACCACCCACTTCCACCAGGGTTTGGGTTAGGTCATGGGTGGGCTCACCCCCATCCTTGTGGGTCCAGTAGATGAAGATGTTCATGGTGCCCACCTCGGTGAGCTGATGATCAGGCCCATACAGCCACAAGACCTGTTCACAGCCCTTCTTTTTTGCCTCCTCTTGTACGAACACAGTGGGCCCATAATTCCTAGTGGATGACAGCCTGATTGGACAGGGCAGGGAACCCTGTTCTTTCCCAACAGGGCCCTAGAAAAGTCTTTTCACACCAAGGCTGCCCTTCCCCCTCCCTAGCTCACAGCTCACCTGTGCTTGTCTGATGCCCCTAGCATAGAATCTCTGGCCATTAGTTTGGGGTCAAGACTCTGGGCAGTTGCCCCCCTTTCCCTGCCTCTTCCCCTTCTCCAGATCACAAGAGCCCACTGTTTCCTCTGTCAGGATCATCTTCCTTTTTTTTTTTTTTTTTTTTTTGAGACAGTCTTACTATGTCACCCTCAGTAGAGTGCTGTAGCATCACAGCTCACAGCAACCTCCAACTCTTGGGCTTAAGTGATTGTCTTGTCTTGCCTCAGCCTCCTTCCTAAGTATCTGGGACTACAGGTGCCTGCCACAATGCCCAGATATTTTTGTTGTTGTTGTTGTTATTGCAGTTGTCATTGCTGTTTAGCTGGCCCAGGCCAGCGACCTACCCAGTGAGCTATGGGTGCCACCATGTCATATCTGACATCACCTCTTCTCAGAGGTTTTTCCTCTGAGGCTGGGTGCTGGGTCCTCCCTCAAATCCTTTTCCTTTTCCCTTTCCTTTCCTTTGACAGGCTCATTTATCGCCCTCAGTGGAGTGCCATGGCATCACACAACTCACAGCAACCTCCAGTTCCTGAGCTTAGACGATTCTCTTGCCTCAGCCTCCTGAGTAGCCAGAACTACAGGCGCCCGCCAGAACACCCAGCTATTTTTTTGTTGCAGTTTGTCCAGGGCCGGGTTTGAACCCACTACCCTAAGTAATTGGGGCCAGCGCCCTACCCACTGATTCACAGGTGCTACCCTCTTTCTTTCTTTTTTGTTTTGTTTTGTATTATTGAGACAGAGTC